TGGGATACTTGTATGAATGCCATCTGGTCCTGATTATTTATTGGCGTCTCCTCTCTTATCTGTTTGGTTTAATACTTCCTGCACACATCTGTCTAGTGGAGCTGGCTCCTCTGACCTGTTTGCTGTGTGAGGCAAGAAAATAACCCCAAGTCTTTGGCAGGCAAGAGTGAAATGGCAGAGTTTTTCTGCTGTGACCTTGTTGTTCCTAAGGGATGTTTTGCCACCAAGCAGCCCTGCCAGTTCCCAAGCTGTCTTTCCTTTTTCAGAGGGTTTACAAAACTCACTGTCAGCCAAAAAATCCTTACCAGAAGGTCTTCACTTTTTTTCCTTTGATGCTCTTAGTTTCCTCTCCATATTTGATCTGCCATGATACAGACTTCTGTCGTCCTCATTTGGACAAGCTTTCTCAATGGAGATCTTTTCCATATAATAGTCTTGCTAATTATTCTACTGATAGACATTGGACTCAATATTTATTAAAATGTCTCTTTGTTTTGGAATGTAGCCTTCTAACACAGATTTTGTAGAATTTTCTGTTGTTCTAAACAACCCCCAAAATTATGTGGGCTTTTTCCTTTTGGGACTGCTTCTCTGCCCCACCATGCTGCTGAACTTAGCTCTAGTCTGATTGCCAGTCCAGGGCTTCCTCTACCTCCCCCAAAACCTGCTTGAATTAGAACCTATGCAGCAGTAAAGATAAAACGTAGAATAAGCATCTTGTGTTGTGGATTTGTTTGCAGGACTCATTATTCTAGGCATCAAACAGTTGTTGCATATGGACATCCTATCTCATTCTGCTGCAGCATTGCATTTTTATAAACATGCCCAGAATCTCCTGCTATTGCTACCTGCTTTCACCTTCCTACCCTCACTCAGTGTTTTCTGGTAACTGTCATAATCATGATAAGGAGTTCAGTGCTGCATTCCTAGTCCTATATTTTTATTACTGGAGTATGTGATCTCTGCCTACAAGAACTCTGTAGTGTGTCTCTTCAGCCATAATATTTTTATACTGTTGCAAGTTATACAGTCCCTCATGCACAGCGTCACTCCTCCACCCATGCATCCTACGCTATCATTACCCTAAAGCTGGTAGCATGGCAACACAGACTCCCATTGTTTATCCTCTCTCCTGCAGGTCTTTGAGGTTGTCCTTGCACCACAGTTGTGGTCTCATGCCAAGCCTGACAGCACCCCTGTCTCTTTTTTGGATTTGGGCATCAGTGCGGAATTACACATAAGCTGTGTTTTTGATCAGACATTGAAGGTAGCATGTGGCAGTCAACTGGATTTGTGGACAGCTGGAGTTGCCTTCCCTAGTTATTGCAGTTGGGCTTTATTTCCCCCCTGGGCTTTTCGGAGGCGCACTGGTTGCAAGTTCACTGTCCTCACAAGTCTCGCCAGTCCAGCAAATATCCTGTGCCCATCAGCTCCCCTATTGCTTCTGATTAAATATTCCTCTTCAAATCTTTCAGTCTGCAAGCACCAGCAGCCTCAATCTACATTGGGTACAGTAACACTTGCCCTTGTTCCCTCAGTTCCTCACATACCTAAATTTCTGCTCTCTAACACCTCATCCATGCACTGAAACACTGGGCCTGGATGAGCTTCTCTCTTGCCTCATAGCTGAGCCCCCGAAGATCACACCTTCATTCCTGGTACCCACAATGACCGCAGCCACCACCAGCTCCTCTCTCACACCCCCCAGGTGATATGCAGAGATACCTCAGAAGGTCTGTTCCTTGGGCAAAGCTGCTCCTTTCTGCTCTTGCTGAGCCACTCTTGCCTCAAGACAGCCAGCCTCGTCCCTCCGTGTCCCCAGCCCCTTTCTCTGCACACAAACACATAACACCTGCGCTGGCAATGCAGACACACACATCACACCCAGGGCAGTTTATGGAGTAGCCCCTACTCTGCTGCTAGACTGATACCTGCATTCTGAGTTTAAAATATGATGGGTTTGGGGCATTTTTTATGAGTTTAGTATTTCCTTTAATTAAACAAACATCCTCTTACTTCTGCTCTCTCAGCCCCCCAGGTGGCTTGCACACCCATCCATTTGTTAAGGGTGTTAGATTCACCTTAAGCAAGGAATATCTTTCTGTTATCACCTTACCTTAAATCACACTCAAGCCAGACTAAGATAAAGGCAAAATAGATCTTCATAATAAAGATATATAATTTATAAGATATATGTACTTCATAATGAAAGGTAAATATTTATTTATAAAATCCACACTAACCAAGCTGTAAATATTTTTAAAAGACTTCACAGAGGTGAAGAAAAGACAAAAACCCACCCATAGTCTACATCGCATCTACTTATGCAGCAGTTATTTCAGAAAGGCTCCCTTTTTCTTGATCAGCTGATGTTCTCTCTCTCCTGCCAGGGAGATTGTCAGAGCCTCAGGACATGTGTCAGCTGCTTCCATTTGATAGCTTCCATCAGGGAAGTTCATACATAAAAAAAATCTCCTGCTTGAGAATTTCTATCAGAGAAGTCCTGCAGTACCACTAAAGAGAGAGTCAGTTCTTTCTTCCCCCCGCCCCCCCAGCTTTTTTTTTTCTCAGAGGGCTGTTAGATCTTACTGCAAATATCCCTTCTTTTGGGGGACCCCAAAAGGTCCTGTTGGTCCAGTCTCCCACCCTCAACTCACCCTGTTCATTCCTGACCCAGGAGACTGCCTGGACACTCTGGCTGAAAACAAAGTTTATTTCCAGTCCTTAGATATGTCATTCTGTGTATCTAGGAGCCATCTCTTAACCTTAGCTGGCTAAGGTTAAGAGGTTCTTGGATTCAAGGTGGAGTAAAATTCTCCCCCTCTCCTCTGTGGTTGCTTGAGACAGTCCTGTGTGAAATATATCTTTCACTTCACCTTTCTTTCTATATTCATCTGTGCATTAAAACACAGCTAATAGGAGCATCTACATATCATAACTGCATGGGTCATTGCTGACCCCCTACTGAGGGTAGGCACCATGGTGCTTAAGAGCTTCCCACTGACTGGTCTCCAGTGTCTTTCTCTTAGACGTTCCCTGACAGCCTGAAACTTTTGTTTGAATAACTTGGAGAGGAATCTGAGTACTGACTTTCTTACCAAGTTCAATGATACTGAATTTTCCCAATTGCACATTCACATCTACTTTTAGTCTAGGTCTTTAGCTGGAAAGAGATTTGAGAAGCACTTGTTCAGCTAGAGCACAAAATAGCTTTAAGCAGTTGTCAGCTAGATACCCTCATATGAAGAGCTTGAGCAGAGTGCCTCAGGCCCTGTGCTTGTAGTGCTCTCTGAAGGGTGCAGAGACCCAAGGACTTTTCACCAATTGAATTGGCATTGCCCTAATCCTATCCATCATAAGATAGCATTTGGCCACAAGCCATCACTTGCAGTGGTGAGCAGGACTTTGAATTTGTCCATGCTACAAGTTCTTCAACCTCGTTTGACTCCTCTACCTCACAGCTTTCACACATAATAGGAATGTTTCAACAGGTGGCAGTTCCCTTCACTAATATTTTCTTGTATTTTAGGGTTCCTAAAAGCAAATATGCTTGGACTATAGGAAAACACAGCCAGAAGGGTTCTTCCCTTTGCAGTACCTCAGGCTGCAATTTTTCCCCTGCAAAATGGAGAGATCAGGTTCCATTAGGAGAAAATCTGCTTTTTGATCCTACACAGAAAACATGTATATGAGACAGCTGTTGTGTGCAGAAAACCAAAAACCATTTAAAGTCCTCTGATTGCAAAAAATTTGTTCTTAGGAAGAGTATTTTACCTCTCTCCTCTCTGAGAAAACAGGATCTCAAATGAGGAGAATATTTCCTTGAGGAGCACATGCTTACTCAGTCCAGGGCCTTGCTGAGGCTCAATATCCATTAAGCTCTTCTCTTTGGGAGAGCAGGACTGTGCTTCCCACGCTCCCCATCTCAGTGGTGACAGCTACTATAAAAGGTGACTGCTGGAGCACGTCTGGTTGCTCTATTAAGGGATTCAGAAAGACTCTGAGATACCATCCTGAAGATACCATAGGTTGCTCTGAACACAGCTCAGGCTCCCACATCAGGCTTGAGTTTGAAAATTATCTCCCATTTACACCACACTGGGTAATTGGGAGTCCAGAGCACCCAAATCTAGAGCCCACTTTTACCCCCAAGTAGACTCCACCTGTGCAAATAAATTAGTTTCAAATTGTGAAGCCACTGAGGTTCAGAGTAAGAGATACAATGCAGTTGTGTACCGTGAACACATTATCACTCTCACTAAGGCAAATCAAAAGCTTCTTTTTCATGCATCTAGAAATGCCGTGTAGTTGTGGTTTTTAGGCTAAAATTTTCCATGCCCCATCTTTAGAATATGTTGGTAGATGCAAAGAGGGAATGGCTCCCACTATAAACAAGCAACAATACTGAAACCTTCCTTTGAAAATATTACTAACTCCGCAACAGCAGAGAGAAAGAATCAAGAGTTTGTCAAGGAAATAGACAATAAGGAGAAAAACAATTTGTTATTTAGAAGGTTTAGTGGTGAGTGGTTTTGATTTTATTGTATTAATCCTCATAGGAGGAAAAATGTCACTCTCTCTGAATACACCCATTTGCTCAGAGGACATTTTTATTAAGGCTGCAAACGTGGGCTGCCCTGGAAGCTGCAGTGTGTGTAGATGACTGTATGGTCACAGTTTAGCACAAAAGATGTTGAGGGAGTGGTAAATGACACAAAGGTATCACAGAAAGAGACATGGAAAGCCATCAGAAGCTAACAAGAAATAACAAATACAGTTCAAGGAGGAGGGAGTTAAAAAAAGAGCAATGCATGACTAGCATAGTATTTACACGGTGTTTAATGTCCTTAATTTATACATCTTTCAATATAACTCTGGTATTGCTCAGGAAATGCTGTCAAAAACATACCAGAAAAATTTCACTAGTTCCAAAAGGCAAATTCAGTTCTTTTGTCTTTCTATTCTAATTTGAAATGCAGACTTACCAGTGGACAATGATTTCTTTTCTGATCAGGTTTTGATGTTTCCATGGTAGGTGACTGGGGACTCAAAACCTCCCTGCCACAAAGTGGCTGACAGCAAGTTGGCTTGTTTTGCACAGCAAAGATCAGAGACTTGTCATTCAAACACACACATAGCACTCACATTGAAAAGGTAACACTTTCATAGGCTGAGGCAACAATCAGCTGCTTATAAAACTGAAACTATTTAGGGCTTACTTGGGGCTTTGTGCCTCTAGATGTGTATTTACTGGGACAGCACAAGCAATTACTTATTAACCCTTACTTCCCACCATCATCTTCACCTTGCAATTTCTGCCCTCAGTGAAATAGTCCCAAATAGCCAAACTTCCTGCCCAGTCTGTAATACAGCACTCACATCACTTCTTTTCACTTTGGCAGAAAAATGGAGAGCCTGGCTCAGACTATGAATATTTCCAAGATGGCTCTAGATGACAACTTCACTAACAGCTCCTTCGACTGTTCGATTGATGGCTTGAAACAAGTAATTTATCCCATCATGTACCTCATTATCTTCTTCCTGGGTGCTGTTGGAAATGGTCTCTCCATATATGTTTTCTTCCAGCCTTCGCAGACGATGTCAGTAAATATTTACATGAAGAACTTGGCTATTTCAGACCTCATGTTTGTGAGCACCTTGCCCTTTCGGGCTACATATTTCCTGTTGGGATCGCGGTGGATATTTGGTGATATCCTCTGCAGGATCGTGACCTACACCTTGTACATGAATATGTACTGCAGCATTTATTTTCTCACCGTGCTCAGTGTGGTTCGTTTCATAGCCATCATCTACCCGTTCAAACGTGGAAAAGTAACCAACGCAAAGTATGCCAGAATAACTTGCACAGCCATATGGATCTTCGTGCTGGCAGCCACCAGCCCTCTGTCAAGCAAGGAAATCGCTGGGTACAGCACCCCAGTCAAATGCTTGGACCTACACCCCTTCAACACGCACAGGCTCCTCGTGATGAACAGCTTTGTCCTCATCGTGGGCTTCATTCTGCCGTTTTGTACAATTGTTGTCTGCTATGTCTTTGCAATCAGAGCGTTGCTCAAGTCCAGGACTCAGCAGAGCAAGAGGATGGCTTTGTCACAAGAAGGCACTGTCAACCATCATCATCACTCTCATTCTCTTCCTCCTCTGTTTCCTGCCGTATCACATACTGCAAACTGCCCACCTGATGTACAGTGTGTGCAGCCAGGCCAGCCTGCCCGTGCACAAAGCACTGGTGGTCACTCTCTGCCTCGCTGCCACAAACAGCTGCTTTGATCCCATCCTCTATTACTTTTCTGCTGAAAATTTCAAAGCAAAAATCAGAAGTTTGTTCTGCAGGTAGTTGATGCAGAATTGCAAAATAATATATATATAGTTCTGCGGAGATACCTAAACTACATTCATACTGTTCAATGATAGAGACTGTGTGATGTGCTGCTAGCTAGCCTGCAGCTGTGCTGCTCAGTGTCAGGCATCTCTGGAGCAAAAATCTCTGGGTAGAGCTCTTTGGGGATGGCCAAAACTGAGTCAGGATGATCAGGGGTCAAGAGCCTGGGTGTGATCCCCGATCATCTTCTGTTTAGCAGTGTAGAGATACCTCTACTGCTCACCCTCCTCTTGACAAGGGGTTGAAAGGAAATTGCCTTGCTACCAGAGCCCCTTTATTTTGTTTCATAATACTCAACCAGTGACTCAAAGGGAAACTGTTCACCTGACCGCTTCAGTGCCTGTGCCTGAACCTCTCTGTGCTCCATTTCCAGGTGTGTGCAAGGGTGCATTGTTCAGATACTGTGATTCCCAAGAGATTCATAGTTCCCTGTCAGTTCCCCTTGCAAACATTGGCAAAGGGTTTGCACATAAAGGAACATAAAGCATCCCTGATGCTTTCTGCTGAGGCTGACTTGAAGAGCAGGCAGAGAGACACACAGGACCCAGCACTCCCTCAGGCTTCTCAGAAGGCACTAAAATTTCTATATTTTCCACTCTGAGCCAGCCACCAAGGTATTTTGCTTAACATTTCACTGATTGTCAAGTGAGACAATGATTTCAAAGGAATGGCATTAGCATGGAGTGTTTTAAATAAGGTGACTGCTGGCAGCGAGGGCAGGATGCAGGCACCCAGAGCACCAGGCTGCATCCTGCAGCTCTTCATGTATGTGTTGATTCCTCCAAGGTCATTCTAATACTTTTTTTTTATGCCCAGTGTTGCCAGTGCTTTTCTGAAAGCTGAGGCTCAGCAGCCCAATTCCCATGCAGAGATCCAAAGGCAAACTTTTAAAATTATTTTGGTCCAAAGGGGTAGTTAGGGAATGGTGTCCTCTGCACAGGTGAACCAGCCTGACAGCAAACTGCTGCCAAAAACATGCCTAATCCCTCACCTCCTGCTTGCTCTAAGGAGGAAATGGATCTCTTTTCTCATAGTATTAACTTCTAGCTGTTTAGAAATCCCAGATATCAAACATGAATGAATGAAACAGGAAGAACTAAGCCAGGAACAGGAGGAAAGATGGGCAGCAGAGAAGGAGGAGGAAAGTTGTTTTAGAAAGCAACAGGAAGCTACACCTATGTGTACTTTGCAAAATTTCATCAAATGGCTGCCTGTATTTTTAAGTCTCTGAATATTTTCTAAAATACATTTTCTAAAATTCAGGCCTAAGTGAAAACAGACTCTCAACTCACTTTGACCATATTTAGATTTTGTTTTCAATTACCTCATCTTTTACTAAAAACAGACAAGAAGTTTAGTCATATTTTCCAGGAAAGCAGCTGGTCTCATATGAAAACTAACAAAAATACTAAAAGCCTTCCCTGCCTGTGAAATTCAGCCAAAGAAAGGTTTCTGTCAGTGAAGTTACTTCTCAATGCCTTGAACTTTTTCTGGAGAAAGTACTCTATAAACTGAGCGTTACTGCTCTCAAATAAAAATAACAGCAGCAAGCTATTTTCAGCTCTGTTTGAATTATGCAGAAAACAAATCATTGCTGGTCAGGTGGAAAAGTACTTGGCAAATCACTGGGAAAGGCACATTTTTCTTGGCTATCTAAGGGTTGTGTTCAATCCGTTTCAGTCACTTGATGCTACCTTTGATGTAAACACAGAGTTTTACCATGTCTTCACTAAAGTTCATGCTCCAAATCCTAATTTCAATAATGCATCAGCATACCTGAGAGCTGACCTAATAATGCCCCATAAACTGCTGCAGTGCTTGATCCCATGCTGTTGGTGAAAAAGGGAATATTAGCACTGTTTTGCAGTGTGAATACAACTGAGGTAGCAATCTGTGCAGACAGAGCAGACATAATTGCAAGGAAGGGGCAAACTCTTTTTCCGCGGTCTTCACCTGTCAGGATCATAACTGAGCAGCAACAAGTGACAAGCTTGAAGCCTCTCATGAGATACCATACACTCTAAATACTACAGGGGAATGGAAAAAATTACCCACAGTCTAATCTCACCAATGTGGGGGTTTTTTTGGATCTTTCTAATGTACCCTATTGTCTGATAATTTTACATTTAGAGAATATAAGTATCTCACTTATGAGGTTGCTTTCTTTTTTTATTGATCGTGCTATGACTTTGTTGGTAATTGAATTAACTGTCAGGACTGTGTTTAATAAACTAAATTTACTAGTGGCTGAAGATATGTTTTTTATTGATTGTACGTCTGACAAGGAATGTCCCCAGTGTGCAGGGGGGAGAAAGACAAAGAAAATGATATTGAGTTTCTTATGTGGGCCATCATTTCACAAGAGAGGTCTTTAGAGGTGTGAGAACATCCTGCTGCCTTATTCACATTACTAACAAAATAGTGAGCAACATCCATCAAAATCTGAGGTGCAGATAAAGTAATAGAGTTTTTTAAAATATTTATTTACTTACAAAAGGATTTAAGACCATCCTTGTTAGGAATCTCCTCATGAACCTTTAACAACACTTGTATAACATGCCATGTTCCCACTTACTGTCATTTCTTCCTTTGATATCCTTGCATGTGTCTACTCATGGAGGTAAACCCAGGGTTCTTCACTGTGAAAGTATCGTGATAAAAATGTAGTTAATAAAGAAAGCCACCATATTTATTCTAAAAAGTAAAGCTCATGACAGCTAAGTTGCTAGCAATGTGTCTAGATTCCTCAAGGGACCACATATCCCTTTGAAAGTACTTTGATACGCTTTGATGCTCCTCAATTTTCCAGGAGACAAAATCTAAAAATAGCTGTGTGCATAGAAAGCTAAAGAAACAGTAAACTTTTGAGCTTGAAGGAGATACAAGAACAAGAAATGAAGCCTTGAAGTGTCAGGGACCCTTCATATGCGTGTTTTCCTGTCATTCAGGGAAACCCTGGTATTTCTAGACAAAGTTAATTTTTCAGTCCAAAGCTACACTAGAGACACAAAGAGATTTTCTAAAGTAGTCTTGCAGGCAGCCTGAACCACTTCACCATCAGCAGAAGGAAAGTCCGCTCCTCACATTAGTTTTTTAGCCCTGGTTCAGGACCACATGTGCCTATGATTGCCTGATGGCGTGGTGTCACAGTGAGTAGGGAGCATCACATGATTACCATTGTCCCCTCTACTCTGCTCTCAGGAGACCCCACATGGAGTGCTGCACCCAGCTCTGGGGCCCCCAACATGAGAAGGACTTGGACCTGTTGGATCAGGTCCAGCACAGGCCACAGAGATGATCAGATGGCTGGAGCTCCTCTCACATGAAAATGGACTGAGGGAGTTGGGGTTGTTCAGCCTGGAGAAGAGAAGTCTCTGGGAAGACCTTACAGCAGCCTTCTAGTACCTAAAGAGGTCCTATAAGACAGCTTGAGAGGGGTTTCTTAGAAGGGCATGTAGTGAAAGAGGGAAGGTTTAGATTAGAAAGGAAGAAATTCTTTACTGTGAGATGGTGAGATGCTGGCACAGGCTATCTGGAGAAGTTGTGGATGCCCCGTTCCTGAAAGTGTTCAAGGCCAGGTTGGATGGAGCTTGGAGCAGGCTCGTCTAGTTAAAATTTGTCTGTTTTGATTTCCTGTATCATATCTGAGACAGCTTAAATGACAGATTATTTAAAAGACAGTGTAAATGAAGTGCAAGTGAAGACTTCCTGAAAGAGTCTGATGTTGTTTGAGGTGCTTCAGCTTTCCAGCCAGCACTGAATGTGACTTGCCAGGCAATACAGCTGTCCCGACGTGCCATGCAGTCCTGTACCTCTCACACAGTTGTGTCCTACCTGGACAACTACAAAAGGTAAGTAGTATATTTAATTGCATTCAGCTGATGTTATGTAGCTACCAGTCATCAGCTTAAGGAGGCCACTGAAATTAAATAGGTTACTTTGTCCCAAATTCCCTTTCTACCTTTCAGAAAAACTGGCCAGATTTCCACCACTGCTTCTTCTCCTTTTTGATTTTACATCTGAAAGGATAAAGCTGCCTAACACAGGGGCTAAAGCATGGTCACACAAGTCATATTCCTGCTCAGAGTAGCAAAATTTGAGCCTGTATTGCTGAAGCTAAGAAATAAAGCTCTGGAGCTTAATCCACCACTCATATTGCCTCACACAGGGCTTGAATGATCAGAGTGGTGGTTGGCAGGTTGGCTCTTCCTGTTTGCTGTCTGCATTTCCAGATGTTGAGATGCTGAGCATGTTAACTCTTGGATGATATTATGTCTTCTTCTGAGCAGCTGTGGCAGATGCAATTGGGAACGATTCAGTCAACATGGAGCTGTGTTTCGTAACATATAAAAATTTTGGGGAAGGAAATCCCTGAAGAGAGGATCTGCACTCTCTGCAGATTTTTCTTATATTATCACTATCTTTCAGTTCTGGAGGTAAGGAGCCTGACTGTCTCTGGCAGGCCTGCTCCAGGTCCCTCTCTGAGGTCCAGCCCTACATAACAGATAAATCCCTTCTTGTGCTTGGTTTTTCATTGTAACTAGTCTCTCACCAGAGTTTCAGGATGTTTAAGGATGCTTTGCTCATTGGTGAGGTACTGCTTGCATGCTGTAAGTTAGCAATTTTTTCTTGGCAATTACAAGGACAAACAATCCAGAAGGAATGAGAAAAACAATCTAGCTCAGGAGCCATCATATATCTTCTGATCTTTATTACTGTAGCTAGATCAGTCCCTTCTACCAACCCAGATTAGGAAGGTGAGCGTGCTAAAAAACCCAGTGCCCTCAGATAGACTTCTTTTTTTTATTTCATTTTCTTAATTTTGAATCTCACTGACCTGACCACCAAAGACCTTGATGCTTGTAGAATTCTTTTTATAAAGCTCTAGCTGCAGCACAGGCTCACTTGAATCCTCCAGAAGTGGAGGCGGTATGTGAAGTACACAGCTCAGGGCT